TTAGAGGGTTATAACTCTCAAAGCAGTTCATTTTAAGGGCATTTTTTCAGAGAACCGGATGATGAAAGCTATTTAAAATACGTCTTTAGAGACACTAAAATACCTATGAAATCTGGAATCCTAAAATCTCTAAATAATTTGTACTAAGCAACTCCTCAAATTTCGTAAAGGAACCTAGGAAACCCAAAATTGAGTTTAGGATATATTTTCAGTTCCAAACAATAGTTAGGAATACTTTTAACTACATAATGAACCAACTTTTTGTACATTTAGAATATACTCTTCTTTCTTCTTACAACAATGTTGGGAATAGAATGCAAGCAATTCAATGAAAACTAGATGTTACAGTTTCTCTATACGCAGGGAGTCAATGCCAGAAGCCCAGGACATGGATCTTGGGAGCAAAGAAAATAGCTAAACTAAGAAGGCATTACCTGAAATTATGTCTTTGCTGAGATGATTTTATTACAGTATAGAAATGTTAAAATAAAGCTACGAGTAGTAAATTTGTTTAAAAGTAGAAAGTGGGATGGGTAACCTGTGCATACAAGCATGCCTGATGAAATGTCGATGGACAATTATCACAACAAATCAGCTCACCACCATCGCCACAGCGCCCACAGCTATCATCATTTGGATCCATTTCATCAGTGTGTACAGTTATAGGAAGCGCTTTCTTAGCCTTGTATTCAGCTGACCAGGCCTCAAGTTGACATAATGTGAGTGGCTTTCCGGACTCCAAGAAAAGATTCAAACACGGCTGATTGAGCTTGAAACCGGCATGATTTTTGAATGACGAGAGTGATAGTACTTCGTCACAGCACTTGCATAATATCCCGTCACTAGTGATAAAGCCATCTTTCAGCACAGAGCCGTCCTTTAGACTCCTATACTGGATCACATCATTTAGAGGAACTGCCCGAGAATGAACTAACCAGCACAAAACTGTTCTTGAGGAAAAGGCAGACCACTTTCCGTCAAGGAAGTGCTTTCCACCCTTATTAAGGCTTCGTAAGAGCAATTTGCATCTGCCTTTATGGCTCTTTGTTTTCCTCAAAGGCTTGGATTTACCAGAGCGTCTCTTTCTTGCATATTTGAAGGTTTTAGTTTTTATGATAGCTGAAACCAAAAGATCATCATCTTCAGGATGAAATTTGTTACACTTCATTAATCGAACTTTGTTGTAGATTCCTTTTTCTTTGATTTCACAGGAATCATTTGTAATAGATACCAATCTTTCACGTTGATATAATTTTGATGTCTTTCTTGATTTTTTCTGTGCCTTCTTTCTAGAGGAAGAGTTCGTGGCACAAGATATACCTTCAGTCCTTGTTTCTACACATGTCATATCCATCAAAACATGGTTTGAAACAAAAGCTAGAGACTCCTGCAATATAGAATTTGGCTGATTCAGAAATTTTACATCAAAGGCGTGTACTTCTTTCTCATGATATACTAGGGAACTTGTGCTGCAATCTTGATTATTGAATAAAGTTGGCATATTTTCCAAACTAACAGGAACTTCAAACAAGCAACTACCAGCCAGCTCAGAGGTAATATCAGATCCATAAGATGGAAAGGGACTTTGATCTAAAATCCCAGTCTCACTACATGAAACTTTCCTATATTTATGAGGTGGCTCATTGAAAGTCTGTGGTGGTAAGTTCATGAGCCTCATATCAGAAACTGAACTGTTGCCACACCACCCTTCCTCTGTATGTGACTGTTCAAGGTTCAGGCAACTTTCAGCAGTACAGCATTCTTTGTGTATACAGTGATCATCCACACTTCTCTCGTCTAGCTGGTCTTGTACAGCTTCTACATATCTAGGTAGAGTTCTGTTTGGTATGACTGTTATTCCTTCTTTAAGAAGGTGCAATGTCTTGTCAATGAATACAACATTTGCAAAAGGATCAAGAAGGCACCATAGAGTAGCCAATGATGAAGTTGTTTCCAAGATAATCAGTTTATCTTTGATCAATGACACAGTACTACTTAGGTCAGATCTAAACTGATCCATGTCAGCCCATACCTTATGCTCCCCGCCGTGTATGACCCTATTTTCATCAGTAATCAAACTCTCACCACAAAATAGCCAAGCTCTACGAAACTCCCGAATAAGTTTTCCCTCAGGTGATCTATAAACATATTCTCCAATGCCTGTATATTTACCAGTCCTTCTACGCCTCCCAATTACCCATCCTGCCGCTTTTAGTAAGCGATTGATATGGTACCGCAGAATAGGACGAGGATCATTTGGAGCATCTTTAACCAACGACAACTCTGATTCATCTAGTTCCACAAAGTAGGAACCGTTCTTTTTTGACTTGGCTGTTTGAACATCCCTTGTGTCCTTTGCAGCAGCAAGTGGAGAATTGCTCGCCAACTTGGTCACACTGCTCTCCTGAGAGGTGGGCGACGGTATTTTACAACCATCTTTCCCATCATCTCCATCCAAGCAACATGAGTTTAGTTTTACAGCATCACTTTCACACATTTGGCGTCCTCTGTCCAGCTCAAACTGCCCCTTTTGCAGATAAGAGCAAGAGGTGATCCCCTGGTTAGTTGATTCAACAACATGAAAAGTCAGAATGCTAGCATCCGCCGGGTTCAAACCTCTTTCTATGCAAGACCTGCTGCTAGAAGGCACTTTTCTTTCTTGTCCTCCCCCACCAAAGTCTGCTAGGGTACCATGTGCACTCGCATGCACCATAAGTGCCGGATTTTGAGTGTCGCATTCAAAATTGATAGCTCCGGTAATGAGGCACCTCTTTTTGCTTTCATCAGTCCCAAAGAATACCTCTCTGAAAATATGATGATCACTTGTGGAACCCTCAAATCCATCATCACACAAACCAACAAATACTTTGGGGAACAACATATTGGTTTGCTTGTCTAAATGTGTCCTCAATTGCTGCAATCCACTACCTATAAAATATTTTTAAAAATTATTTTTTCCCAAAAAAATAAAAAATAAGAAAAGACGAAGAAAGTGGTGACACATGGCCCATTTATATTGTATTGCCTTTTACTGTCATTTTTTTCTTTTTATATTTGAACTCAACATTCATTTTAATGACTCATTCACCATTTAACAATACCAAAAATGTCATTCCTAGACACGAAACCATAGCTACAACTCCATCCCAGAAGAATTAACTGCAATTCGTAAACAAAAACAGAATGATTCTAAAATTTAGTAACTGGCAACCGAAATTCACACATAAAGCTTCACAGAAGTTCATGGCAATCATATCCATTTCCAAGCTCTTCCGAAGAACAACAGAATCAAAATCTGCCTCAATACGAGCTCAAATGCGGAACTAGAAGAAGACAGATCACAACCAATTCAATTCGATTCAACAGCTAACAGAGAAATCAAAGGAAGGAATTCTCACCTGTACCTACGCATTGCGCTCAGAAAGACATTAGGGCTCCGTCTCCGCGAATCTACAGACGAAATATTCCGCTCCGAGACTCACACAGCCTCCATTTCGCGCAGAGCTCGCCGGCTGAGGCTTGGATTTCGAAACGGAAAAACGGAATTGCAGTCGGAATTAGCGAGCAAACGGGCGGAGGAGAAGCGGCGGAGAGCTGGGCGGTCAATCGAGGCCGCGATCTACAGTACCTTCCGCGTGAACCGGCATTGTTAGTTGTCAGTACAGATATGGGGTTCGGTCGCCATGGAAAAGCAAGCTTTCCGTTTATTTGTCTCTTATCTTCTTCTCACATCAATTTGTCCCGTTTTTTGTACCTTCGTTTGAGTTTGATAGTGTTCATCAATGGAATTGCCTAATTTGACTGTACTCTAAAAGTTCACACTTCAAAATACTCTTTGTACTCTTGTTGGTTTTAACTTTTTTTTTTTAAATTAGCACTAGCATTATTGATAATGTTTTATTGAAATTGATTAATGAATTAATTTTGAAAAATATTGATATTGGAGAGTGAATATCGACAAAAACAACTTGTTCAAAACGTTAAATCACAAACGAAAATTGTTACCAAACACATGTCATATCTTTTTTTGTGTCAAAGAACTTATTTATAAAATAATTTGGCACGATGATTTTACTTGAAATATTTTTCCTTACTCTATAAAAAATTTCGAACAAAATATAATTTGGAAAAATATATTTCTTGTGTGTAGTGCCTCATTCACAAAATAATTTGGTACAAATAGATGTTTTTTACGAGAAATAAAATGTTTTGTTAAAAACGTTTCTTAAGAACGTGTAAAACAAATAAAAATACGAACGGGGAGCATTTTATAATGCGAGTAAACAAGTACAAATTTGGCCAGAAAATAAAGATTCAATTATATTTTTAAATAGATTAGTGAATGAATTTAAATTGGTGTTAACTTAATATATTTATATATTGAAATTTTGTAAAGTTATACTTGAGAGTGTAACAACACACAATAATTATAATGTTTACAAAATTGTATTCAACAATATAATATATTCGTATTAAAAGAACATCTAGAGAGTTTTTACAAAAGAATAATGATAAGACATTTTTACAATGATAATAAATGTACGGAGTATAATATAAAATATATTTTTAAATTTATAATTTAACTCGACTAAATATAGAATAAATTTTATTTGCAAAAGATGTCTATTGAAAATTACTACATATATCATTTAATGATTAACTAACAAATTACTAAACAAAGAATTTATGGTGTAAGTACTCCAAAATACGTAAATCCACAAAGAATATTAGTTTATACATTGAACTAAAAGTGGAAAAACTATAAATACAGAAGTCATAATTCATAAGCTCGAAATTGTATTTTCGTAATGTAGAAGCTCAAAAGTTATTCTCAATACAATCGAAACACCCTCTAAATGATTTTCTTTTATACTTGTAATTTAGAAGCACTTTTAATAGCAATAGGGCAAAAATTTTACCCACTTTTCCTTGAACAATCTGATAGTACAATGGAGAACTTCATTTTATTTGTATGAATGAATGAAATGAATGAAAGTACAAAATTAGGATCCTCTCTAAAGACTTACTGGGTACACTGAAGCTAAACTTCTCATGAACTAAGGGATTCATCATCAAGAAATATATATATAAATATACAATTTGATTAGATATGAATTTAACAACAAGAGAATGAGAGGTGCAATTCTGAGTCTGATTCAACCACTTCGGTTATATATCGACGAGAAAGTCATCGTTGCCTGTGACACAGTCAAGTTCCCGGACGAAGAGGTATTACCTTCGTTCCCGGAGCCATTGGACGACGTCAATCCTTTCTCTTTCCTTTGACCCTTGAGATTCATTAGTTCTGACAACAAACCGGGTTCTGATATCGCGGAATCATCCACGGGCATGTCTCCTGTCAACATTTTGACTACTTTGGGCATAGATGGACGGGTTTTGGGCATTGATTGGGTGCACAAGAGAGCGATTTTCACATATCTACAAGCTTCGTCGATATTGAAGTGCTCTCCTAGTGATTCATCAACCACCTGAACAAGCTCCCCTCTTTGATAGAGTCTCCAAACCTGCAAATGGATTTATGGCAACAAGTGTTTTCATGGGGTGATTAAGGTATCATTTGGCAAGGCACGATGATTCATTGTATTTAGTCCATTATGTGAATGAAACTGAAATGATTCTTTTCGCTCCATTGGAAATGGACCGTTAGGACTTAGGTTGCGTTTCATTCGCCATGATCTAATATGATTTTTTGAAGATCTGGTCTGATCTTTTAAGTTGTAACTATTCTGTTCCGTTGTGATGATCTAATTTTAATAAGAATAAGTAATAAGCTAAAAAATAAGTTGTACACAACAGACCCTTAATGAACATTGCCTTGAATGTGAAATGGATGAAAATAGTGCGATCGAGTAATGTTATGTTATTTACCCTTTCAAGGAGGTATTGGTCATCAATGGGGAGGCGCGTGTTGGTGTGGCATCTTCCACTAACGATTTCCAAAAGGAGAACTCCAAAGCTATAAACATCTACTTTCCTTGTGAGTTGTGAAAGCAGTGCATACTCCGGGGCCAAATAACCTCTGTACACACATAAAACTGGACATTATTCAAATTGAAAAAAACATCGGCATGTGTTTATCGTGGCAATAACTTTTAGAGGTGAGGTTCCTCTTGCATTATTCACCTTTTTTTTAGATCCCTCTTCAATTCATTGCACCACTAAGGGTAAAAAGGGAAACTCAAACATTTTTTTCTTACATTAAAAAGTGTTCAAAGTCAAGAAAAGAAGAAAGATATGAGACGAAGGGAGTAAAAAACATCAACTTACTGAGTGCCTGCAACGCGGGTGCTGATATGAGTGACATCATTTGGGAAGAGCTTTGCAAGACCGAAATCAGAAATTTTTGGATTGAGATCTTTGTCAAGAAGGACATTGCTTGCTTTGATATCTCTGTGAACAATATGTGGTTGTGCTTCTTCATGGAGAAATGCAAGCCCCCGGGCCACACCAATGCATATATTTGTGCGGGCCTTCCAGCTAAACTGAATGCCAGTGTGCCTGGAACCTACAAATCAAATAAATTTGTTAAAAAAAGAGAAGAATTCAATTGATAGGTATTCAAATTGAAGTCTTATACCAATTGCTTACACCAGTTTGTTTCTTAACCCCCCCGACTCCCCATCTAAACCCCCCATCCCAACTCCCTCCATGCCATGGCAGTATATTGGGGTGGGGGGTAGGGATGAGGCTAGCAGTTTAGGGGGGGGGGGGGGTAGGGGGCAGGAACCATCATTTTTACCAACGGGGCACCATAGAGGCACCAAACAAACTAGTGTGAGCAAATGACACCAGTCTACTAGCACTGGTGTCATTTTAGACTTACTCTTTTTTTTAAACAAAAATGGAGCTGGCATTACAACATTGAAAATGAACTTGTCAATATTTATGTAGGTGGTGCAAATGAGCTCCCGGTGTGGATGTCTAATTGTGTCAATGTGTCATTGTAAATGTTTACTCCTATGTGGGTAGAAAACCATTGGACTCCTAATTACACACAACGTCAATGTTTAACTCGTATTAGTCCTATCTATGTACATAGCCTTATTTTCAATCATTCAGGTCTTAATGATAGATTCATTCTTTCTTTTAAACCCTCAATTGATTGATAACATATCTTTCAAATCCTGACTAAAAAAACCAATGCGGGATTTGGAGAGAGAGAGAGAGAGAGAGAGAGAGAGAGACCTAGAAGAGTTTGGGCAAGGCTGTTGTTTTCCATATAGGCATATACCAGCATCCTATGATCCTCTTCCACACAGCAACCATACAACTTGACCAGATTTTCGTGGTCTAAGCCCGAGATAACAACAATTTCTGTCAAAAACTCTTTAGAGCCCTGCCTTGATTCTGCAGAGAGCACCTTAACAGCAGCCAAAGTTCCATCTCTTAGTCGCCCCTAATAGTCAATTGATAGCTTCAGTACCTATATTGAAGACAGGAAAGATTTTCCACCTTTGAATCCCATGACAATTAGGCAATTCTCACCTTTTGGTCCCGACTTTCAGTTTTTCCACCTTTGGTGCATGACTTTAGATTTCTTGTCACTTATCTAGCCGATTTCCGTGCAATTTGTGATAGATTTTCACAAATGAAGTGCCCAAAATGAGCAAAAGTGGCAAGAAATCGATAGTCGTACGCCAAAAGTGGAAAACTTAGAGTAAGAGACTAACAGTGAGGATAATTGTGGGACCAAAAGTGGAAAAATTACTTGAAGAAATTGAGAAGAATGTTATACTTTGTAAACAGATCCAAACCCTCCTCTCCCTATCATATTTGAGGGACTAAAGTCTTCGGTTGCCATCCGCAATTCCCTATAACTGTATATCTTAGCATTCTGACAGCTTGAAACTTCTGTACCAATTTCTTAACCAATTCAGAATCTAAAAGCGAAAGAAGAAGACACGTAAATTGTATTTCTACATCTAAGATTAAGATCAGCGTGTTCGGGATTTTTGTTTTTGAAACCTACCCTCTTCAATGTCTATTTGATGCCTTGGTGGAGATGCTTTATTTCCAAAACAGCATCCAAAAAGAGACATTTCACAAGTTTTGAGTCCCACCAAGTTTGATTCACGTAGATATAATCTCCCTTCAAGATCAAACTAACCATAAGATAAGAACATGTTACCATTTCAAGTATCAAGTAAATAAATACAACACACATCTTAGATTACAGTTATGGTTGAGAAAGTTACTTTCGAAACATGATTATCATATAACTAAAATAGTAAATGAGTAAATTCCAGGGCAAAAGATAAACAAACAAAAAAGAAGATGAATCTTTCCTTCCTCTTAATCAAAACGATGATTTGAATCAGGATACTCGAAATCACATGTAACAGATGAACCAGATGCTTTTATTCTGGACCTAAGAACAACAAGATTCTAATAAGCATTATCACAAACACCTATGTTTATATCATTTCCTCCAATTTCTTTAAGTTATAGTAGATAAAAAAAATCTTGTATTAGCTCTTCTTTCTTCAAATATATCATTTAACTTCATGAAGAGATGCTCAAATCTTCAAAAAAAATGTTTTTTTTTCAATTTCAAGTCAACCAAGAACAGAAGTCATAAAACAGAGAACAGAGAACCCATGTCCAGGAAATTGCAAAAATAAAAGATGCCCATCACAGAGAGATCTAATATCAGCTCATAAAGAGAACCAAGGGTAGTGGAAAATATACTATATACTCCAAATTTAAGATAATAGATGGCGTGTCACCTTAAGGGTTCCTGGTGCTGCCTTGCTGGATAGATGAGATGAAGGTTCCTGCCAGGTGAGGAAGAAGAAGAAATGTTTGGCCCAGACAAACTGTATAGGATTACGAACTGGAGTAAAATACTTCTCAACCCATCCTCAAGAACAACTGAACAACGACAACAAGAATAAAAAAGAAGAGGAAATTGGGGAGAAACATCAGGCCGATTGAAAAAACGCCGCCGGGTAGGTTAGTTGGTCCTCAAGTCAAGAAATTTAAGTCCAACTTCTCTTGATCTTTACATTCGCAATCAAACACTCCACAAATATGGAAAGTTATTGTCAGTGACAATTATAGTACCCGGAGTATTTATTTGTAGTTAATTCATTTGTTCCTTCTCCTTAATTATTATTCATATGATCAATTCTTAATACTCCGTAATATTTTTTACCTATTTTTATTAATTATTTCATTATTTGGTAAAATAATATAATCCTATCACCTTTTGTTTTATAGATTTTTTTATGTAGTTTTTAAATATATATAAATTTTATTTTTTAATTTTACACCTATAATTAAATAAATTGAATCGAAAATAAAGTCAGTCAAGCTTTATAAACAAAAACAGAAAAAACGTTTTAGGACGGAGGGTGTGTTACTAGATAATGTTCAAGCCTTAATTAAATAAAAATTGTAGTTTATATTAGTACAAGAATGATTTTATTATATTTTAATTAACTTGTTTAGAACTTTTAAAATTTTATTTCATTTATTAATATGAAATATAATTTAAGAGTACTTGAGGATTAAAGTTTATCTAATTTTACTCAAAAAAAATTAAACTAGACGAATATTCTATGACGAGATGAGTATTAGAGATATTTTTTGCGTATAATTGTGATAAAATAATACTTTATTAAAATCAACATTTCATGAACCTTAAGAAATGACAATATAACCTTTTCCAAATCTAGTGTTTTGCGCTTAATAAATTGAGATTATAAGATTGAATAGATTATATATTAATAGGTACGTGAGCTATAAAAAAAGAACCTTAAGAAATATTTTAATACTCTCTCTCTCTAATTTTTCCCTATTTCAAACAATCTACAAAAATTCATTTTTCTTAAAATTACTTCATTTTGCAAATTAGTATATCAGTAAAAAATACAAATTTTATTGTTCAAACATGCATCAGAAGTTCTACAAAAGAATATATGACAAGAATGTTTTATCTTATCAAACGATTAATGAAAATATGCAAAAATTAAAAAATTATCGAGATACCGGAATAATATTTGGGAAGAAAAAAATGGACAAAAGGAGTGCTAAATATGGATTCGGTGAGTTTTAAAACAAACAAACCAGTTTCACACATGTATAAAAAAGTTACTACTATTATCTCTGAACATTTGTCTAGTTTCGATTTTTTGCAGTAAAAGTTGATAAATTTGGACCGTTAATTCGATAAAAATTGATTTTATGAAAATGATGTATTGTAGCTGTTATAATTAGAACTACTACAATACAGGGTATTAAGGGAGATAATTAAGAACAATCAATTTTATGAAAATGGTGTATTGTAGTTGTTCCAATTAGAATCAGTATCATCATGTCATCAAGTATCATTGGAATCAGGGTGTTTTGATTTAATCGTTTATATTTGGGTATAATGCCCACGCCCTCTAGTTCTATGTGATTGTAAAATCTAATCTTTAGAAAAATTACTCTATATCTGGTACAAACAAAAAACTATTATAAAGAAGAGGTCGGTTCCATAGCCACTGGAATCCAGTGGCTACGGAAGCCACTGCCCCCTATGGAGCTCCGTTCAAGAAATTGATGATTCCTACCTCCCTTAACTCTCCCGGTAAACCCTCCTCCAAGTCTTGACCCAAATTACTCCCCTCACCTACATCAATTGCACTTCGTAGGTATAATTAACTTTAAAGTTAAAAATTTTGACTTTATAGTTACGAGATGCAATAAGAGTATATGACCCTTCATAATTTGTTTTTACTCCGTATTTGCTTAGGGCCTTTATTTTATTCAAACGTGTAACGGTGCAAGTGGGTGAAGACCCGAAGACTCTAGCAGGCCCGTTCGAGTTGCCAGAAAAACAGATGGGCCGTGTGTTGTGTCACGTCCAAATTCGGCCACTTCAATCCTCCCGGAGAGTCTGACCACCATCTGATGCAAGCTGAGGCCACCGCGGCGCCGTGCATCTCCTCCGTCTTTCCGGCAAGTTTTCCGATTCTCTGTCTATCTTATTAATTGCTTCGGTAAAAACGTAAACTCTGCGTGTGAGGAATCATCATTTTTTTCTTTCCGAATCTTCTGTGATTAATGATCGGAAGTTAATCGGCGAGAAGTAGTTGAAGGCGGCGAACGCGCAGCGATCGGATTCGAGAAATTAGGATAGTGAATTATCTCCGTTACGTATCGGATCAAAGTGTTCTTTTGATTTTCAGATGTGATACTGTTGCGCCAGTCAACGTTTGTATAGATTTTTATATAGTTTGAATCAGATACTTCCTATGCCCCTAATCAATCTGTTCAATGTGACTTCACTTCAGGTAGATTAAGAAAACTGTTGAAAATATGTTATATAGTGAAAGTCCAGTCGTTAGAATTTGTTTAAACATGAGAAATATTTAAGACCAAAGAGAAAGGGAAAAAGTGCAAAAATTATTTTGGGACGGATATAAAAAGAAAGTGGTAAAACTTCACCGGGACGGAGGGATTAGCTTATATTCTTTTATAATATGAAAATTGATGAAAGCAGCAGCTGTGGGAGTATCAACTTTCAGAATGCTATAGGCTGTGGGGTTTCTGGTTTAAATGAAGTTCAAGTAGTATATTGATCAAACAAACATCAAACTTAGTATAATTCCCCATAGAGTTGGGAGGGCGAGTGTACGCATAACCTACCCCTACTTGGAAGTAGATAGGTTGTTTCCAAAAGACCCCCAGTTCAAGTAGTGTGTTGTGATGTTAAATTTGAGCTACAAAATCAATAGATACTCTACAAGTAATGTTGTTTTTATGCATATTTATATACCAAGAACTACATTACTGTCAAATTATGCCCGTTTTTTTCTCCAAAAAACAAAAGGATGGCTCTACATGTCTCTGTAATGTATAGTTGATCTGCAATTATATGCTATGTCTGAATGGTTAAATGTATAATCTAATAAAGACCGTGGGGACTTTGGTGATAGCACCCAGATCAATAATGTTGGTCTCTGCTTTTTCGTCATTCTGTCATCAAGTCAGCAACACCTTAATCCCAACTAGCTGCCGATAGTGGCTTAAAATTTATTTGAGTAAATTTTTAGGAACACCGAACACATTGATTATTTTGATCCATGAATTTGTGATGGAAATTAGCACCTTAATTCCAACTAGTTGGGGTTGGTGGCTTGAAATTTATAGTTTTAGTGTAGCTAATTGAATAAAAATACTTACCACTATAAATTCATGCAAAAAAGCACAAGGACATTTTTTGGTTTTCTGTTGGTAATATTGGGTTATGTTTGTTGAAGAAACTATTATTTATGTTGTCATGTTTTGGTTTCCATTTCTCTAGATGGCCGAGGGAAATGATGAAAATGCAATGGAGGTTGCATACCACACAGACGCAAACGTAGATGCAAACACAGACGCAAACACGGACGAGAGACAAAGGAGAGAAGGGAAGTCGAGGTCAGTGGTCTGGCAGCATTTCATAAAGCTCACGAAGGAGGATGGTACTTACGAGAAGTGCAAGTGCAACCATTGCCACAAGGTCTTTGCTTGTTCGAGTAGGTCTGGGACCACTAACTTGCTACGCCACCTGACCGAGGGCGGGTGCCCAGTCGTCAAGCTCGACAAGAAGGGCACCTCCGAGCGTAAGACAGCCTCTCTTCCATGGAAATACGAGCATCAAACGCCAATCGAGGTTTCGATTGATATGCATGAGGACTTGTTGCCCGATGGGTTACCTTACGCCCCCTCAAACGGTGAATTTGTGGGCCCCTCTTATGGTAAAGCTTCTAAGACGCCTCCTAGGAAGTCCCTAGTCAACGGAGGGGATGCGTGGACAAACGAGTTGAGGGCTTGTTTGGGCAAACTCAACAAACTAATCAATGATCATCTCCCCAAAGGAGCATCCTTAAAGACCTCATTGGACATAGGTAATCCCGACACATCAATATTTGGCGCCATAAAGTGTTTGAATGAGCTGGAGGACATCCCAGAATCAAGCACCATGTACCTTGATGCTCTTGACGTCCTAAGAGTTCCTGAAGAAAGGGAATGTTTTGTCTGTTTAAACCCTGAGCCACGCAGAAGATGGCTTCAGAGAATGCTGAATCGCCAGTACCCCTTAATCTACAACGATCAGATTTGATCTTTCCCAAATATGCCTAAAACGCCCTTCTGCGACATAAGGGAGGGCTGCATAGCTTTCTAGAGCCTTCTAAAAGAGTCGCGTCGTGAATTTTGTCTCTCAAAAGGAGTGTCATCCCCTTGAACAGGTTTCTCTCCTATGACCAGGTTTTGGACTGTTCTTTGGCATAACAAGTTTTAAGGTCTTAGACTAACAAAGCGAAAGTATCGAATCTCATTCGTGATGTTATTTTTCTTAGGAATTACAGTTTACCTTTGTCTCTTTTGTTAGGTTTTACAGCAAAGAATATAGTAAATCAAATGTTTTTTTTTGGAAATGAGAAGTGTGTTTGCTCTTCAGAAACATTGTTTTCCCATATTCTCCTTTGCGTTTATTATTGCTCCCTACATTATTTCTTTATCTAGAAGCTGTTGTTACAAATGGATGTGCTTTTTTTTAAGAAAAGTTTGTGTTGTTTTTTTCTCTCAATTTCATTTCCCTTTGCTTTTGTTGCATCTGATGATCACAAAGGATGAACCTCATGTCTCACAAGGACCAATGGAACAATCACGTGGGAGGAAATAAATTGAACTATAATAACGAGTGTTTCAATTTTGCCCAAAGTCCTCAAGCTTCATGTACTCCCCTTATGGCTTTTTTTTCTATTTTCCTAGTTCGGGTTTTGCTCAATCATGGCACCCGTTTGGCAATAGTTTCACGGTTTTGATTGAGTATTTCGAAAAGTTTATATACGGAGTAATTAACATGTCGAAGTTAATTTGTACCATTATATTAAAAAATACATAAAAATATATACTGTTAACACTACTTGAAAACGTCATTCCTAGATCGATAGCACGATCACGGTGTGCATGAACTATGAAGTCTATTCATATGCTAACACTAATTGAAAACGTCATTTATAACTAGCCATGATCACGGTGTGCGTGAACCGTAGAATCTAGCAAAGTGCGACCTCCGACAGTCCCTTTAAATGAGTTGTTTCTTTCTCATTTTTTATAGAGTAAATTCCCAAAATAGTCCTTTGTAATAAGGGGTTTTCCCAAATTAGTCCCCAATAAGTTTTAATTACCTACATGGTCCTCTATAATTAAGATTCATTTCCAAAATAGTCCTTTGTAATAAGGTGTTTTCCAAAATCAATCCTTAATAAGTTTTAATTACCTATGTGGTCCTCTATAATTGAGATTTATTCCAAAGATGGTCATTCGTAAATAATGTTACTCAAATGAGGATTAATTGAGGATATTTTTTATTTACTAAATTTAGAATTAATTCTTAAAATAATCATTTATAATGAAGTATTTTTTCAAAATGGTTTTTCTAATTAAAGATGTGTATTGGATTTGAAATTTAATTTTTTTTTAAGTTTTAAATAATTCATAAATTGATGAGTAAATTCTCAAAATAATCCTTTGTAATAATTAATGTGTTTTTTCCAAATCAGTACTCAATAAGTTTTAATTACTTATGTGGTTCTCTATAATTGATATTTATTTTCAATATGGTCCTTTATAAATAATGTTACTCAAATGATGATTTATTGTGAGATATTTTGGTATGTTGATCATCCAAATTTAAATTCTCGAAACAATCATTTTTGTACAACTAAATGTAAATTTTAAAAAATACATTGACTATAAATAATTTATGAATTATTTAAAACTTAAAAAAAAATTAAATTTCAAATCAAATACACATCTCTAATTAGAAAAATCATTTTGGGGAAGCACTTCATTATAAATGATTATTTTAAGAATTAATTCTAAATTTAGAGGATAAAAATTACCTTTATTAATTCTCATTTGAATAACATTATTTACGAAAGACCATCTTGGGAATAAATCTCAATTATAGAGGACCTTGTAGGTAATTAAAACTTATTGAGGACTGATTCAGGAAAACACCTTATTATAAAGGACTATTTTGGAAATAAACCTCAATTATAGAGGACCACGTAGGTAATTAAAACTTATTGAGGACTAATTTGGGAAAACATCTTATTACAAAGGACTATTTTGAGAATTTACTCTTTTTTATACTACGTAATACAAAATGGGTAATTTCTAATTCGATCCTAGTATATTTCTTTTGAAAATCAAATAAGTTCTCATTCATTCAATAGTGGTAATGCAAATCCTAGGCGAGTAATGGACCAACTACCTCACTCTAGACGTACCACTTATGGTTTGCATGTCTTTTTAGATTGGGAGAGGGTCAATTTTCAGTGAGCATTTTCATCTAATTTCTTCAATTACTGCACATTGTTGATTTTTATAAAGAATTAATGCCACATAAATGTATTTTTCTAAGATAGATGTTAATTAGAACAAACAAAAAAAATATTTTTTTGAATATAAACTTGTACCCGGAGTACATTTGAATTTGTTATGATACGTTTTTAAATTTATAAGAAGAATATGGAGTATTAGTTTGTATATTTAATAAGATAATTGCATTTCTATTTAAATAATATGCTAAAAATAGAAGTATTTATGTAAAAGTTACATTATGAGACTAATCCTAGTCCAGTCCTCATCTAAGCTTCTTATAGAAGACCACCGGTCTGGGATTGATCTAGTTCTTTCCTCAATTTAGAGGACCAAATAGGACTACTGGTCCACGGCCAGATCGGTCCCAAGGACCACGTTGGTCCCAATCCTTCCCGGTCTGATCCTGATCTATCCCGGTCGATCTTTTCAATTTTAATCTTTTTGCTCTTCTCTATTTACGATTTATTCTCGGTAATTACTCTTTTATACTTCGATGAATTATGTCCTGTTCTTTTGGGCTGGAAAAATTAACTATGAATTTCTTCTAGTTTTTTCCAATTCTTTCCAGTTTCTTCCGACAACGACTTAAAATTATTTTTATATATGATTAATATAAAATAAATCAAACTTATAACATATCACCCCAAACACAAACAATGATGAATTCTTTTCTATCCAAAATTAAAATTTCCTTGCATATTTATTTGGATGATCTTTTAATTAAGTGATTTTTTAACACTTTAATTCTTTCAACATTTTCCAGCTACTTCCAATTTTTCCAACATCTTCCAGTTTTTCCAATTTTTTCCAGTTTTTTTCCAATCTAACTCCGTATAATATATGTCTTCCGAAGTCCAAAATTAATTATACGAGTATTAAACAATCATTTGATATGTGCATTACGAGGTACAAAATTTTAAAACATACAGAGTACAATATACTTCCCATTGTATTAGTTTGAACAACAATAATAAATTAAGCAACACATGTCTATCTTAGTAGTACAAGACTTGTGACATAAAAAATAAAACAAATTAAAAATAAGAGTCTTGACTTGTACAAGGTTTGAGCCCCTTTTTCAGCCCCTACAATATTTTACATTTCAAAGACTTGTTTGGTTTACCAGACAGGTTAGCACCACAAGTCCACAACAAAAGGGTATGTAGAAACCTTAACTATATTCTCTTCTTTCCTAAAAGAACTTCTTGCTTTATTATTTCAGTGTACCAAAAAGCAAACAAGAACTTTTTGAGGCGAAGAGAGTAAACATAGGAATTACGTACCTACTCTGGCAATAAAGGCAATACATCAAGAATATAGGGCGACCCATCAGTTTCGTTTCGGCTATTTTCTTGCGAGGGACTATGGAAAGGAATAATGCGGAGGCGGGCATCTGATTCTGCCCCGACTCTCTCTGATGTCAGGTTATACTTAGAAATGAGGTCCGTTTGGAGAGACATGATATTTGATGGCCGAGGAAGTAGCTCCACTGGTTCCCCTCTGGGGATTACTACTCGCTCGATGGCTATCCTTGCCTCCTATGAATAACAACAAGCCGTTAATTAAGTTCCCACGAGTGGTGGTACCCTACATAAAAAGGGTAGAGTGGTCGTTTCCGAAACTCCCGACTCAGATGGTGTTAAGAAATGACCCTTTAGGACATGATTGTAAAAAAGGTATAATAGAGATTTGGGTAGGAAGAATTTCCCCTCACATTAACAACAACAAGTCTGGGGAGGTATGTGTATGCAGACCTTACCCCTACTAAAAGTAGAGATACGTTTCCCTCACTTTATATGTACAAAATGACCCATTTAAGAATAATGTCCCTTTACTAAAACAATATATGTTGTAAAAGATGATCACGTTGACTAAGCAGGAAGGTAAAGCTCTTGTTCCTTCTGTATACCAAGACGTATTTCATCAATAACACTCATGTTCCTTCTCTACACCATGGTGTACACCAAGTGTTGCCGGTGAAAGTGCCACGCTGATAATTTTGTTACTAGCGAAAATTGAGTATCAACAACAACCCCAATAAAGGCCCATAAGAAGTAGGGCCTGGGAGGGTATGTGTACGCATACCTTACCCCTAATTAGTAGTAGAGACTAGAGGTTGTTTACAAAAGACCTAGGCTCAAACATAGAAGCACAAGCAAACATGCAAACAAAGAAACCACAGTAAGATGAACAAAGTAAGAACACAAACAAAGGAAGCACTCATACCAACACTAGCAACTCAGACCCAGAGCACAGAGAGCACACAAGCACAAGCTACAGGTTCCAAACTAAGACCCAAAGGTCTACCCAACTACTATAATCCTATACTTCCATGTGTTCCTATGTAAGGAGGCATCATTTTTTCTGACTCAAAAGCTCTAAAATCAAGAACCTAAAGCTTTTCATTAGGCTACATAAAATTGGTTTGCAAACTAAAAATTCACACACACACACACACACACAAGAGAAAAAAGATTCACCTCCAAAGCATCCATCTTTTCTGACTCATTAACCTTAGGTTCAGATTCAAAAAATATAGAACCATCAGCATAATCAGCCACTAGAGCCTCTATGGCCTTGGTTATCTGAGATAAGGAACTTGTCTGCAAAACCAAAACTGCTCATTAAATATCATAATGAGGACTTAGGTATGTTTCATTACACTTTCAGTCACAATAACTATACAGGAGTACAGGACTATTCTGGTGTCTTGTCCATCAAATAAGCCCAACTTTGTAATGTACATATTTACCTTTGAAATATATATACGAACACCGCGAGTTCTTGCAGCAGCTTGAATACCCGAATTTCTTTTGAGTTTGGATTGCAATGCTAGGAGAGCATCTGCTTCGCTGATGTTATCAGTAAATTCAATGGCATGTTCTATCTTTAACTGTTTAATCCCTTGAATCACATTTGCCTCTGAGACCTAAAATATCTGCTCAACATTTAAGTTCCATAAAAGAAGCTATGCATGATTCTGCATGAAGTTAAGTAACTAAACTTCTCAGGACTATAAACGGAGAAAAAAACACTTCGGAGAGAAGATGGCTTGCTGCGGACTTCCTTAATACAACTAGCAGCATAGCCGCCAGAGCGAGGAGCTTACTTGGATAATACAAAGAAAAAATCCAATGATTTTTTAAACTGTTTACATGCATTTAGATTTCCTAGGATCTGTTTGGTGAGTTCATTGTCCATTTCCAATGGAGCTAAAAGAGTCATTGTTGCTAATATTTTAGTTTCGAGCACACAATGGACTCAAATAAAATGAAACATTAAACATCCCATGTCTCTTACTTTTGTGAAGTTTTGGGCAGTAAATGCAACAATGCATCTAGGGTCTAATGGAAACAACCTCTCTGTTTGTACAGGAATAAGATTGTGTAAATCATAATCCTCAGACCACAACAGAGTTGGGACTATACTGGGTTGTTGTTTGTTCTTTGGTGAGTGCAGTAAAAATTTTAAATAGAATGAGTTTGGACAAATATATTGATTGAGTTTGATGCAATCTCTTCCCTCCAGATTTGTTTTCCTTCCAATGTTCCTACATGTTTTCTTTCCCTAAAGTTATATGGGATCTAAATGGACCCTTAGAGGATTAACTGTTTTTGCAGTAAAGAAAAGGAACTGAGTAACAGATAGTATCTTACCCCATAGAGAAATAGGCAAAGGGACTCCTCATTTTTACCACAATCCCCTTCCGCGCTTGGATCCATTTCCGGATTAAAATCACTGTTCAACCATGATGTGCGAACAATGGCGGCTTCACTTCTACTGTCAGTAGATTCCTGGACAGTCACCTTTTCCCTCACTTCCTCTTGTGATCTTGGATTTATTCTGTGGAGTTCAAAGCTGGGATGGCGGCCTTCTCAACAAAAGTAGAATAAATGTCAAGAAAATATTTCATGAAATAAGAAAGGTTTGACAGCCAATCACATGATTTGGTAAGGGATTATTTGCTGGGGGATTTTGGAGGGAGAGATTGGTTTTTGTTTGGCTAATTTATCCCTATTTGTTAGTCTTAGATTGTTAAATAAGTACACCATATACGTTTAGTTATATCATGTATTTCTATATACTCTAACAATCTAATTGTAAGAATATGTTAATAAAATAAATATAATCCATCCCCTCGCCTCCCATCTGAAATCCCCCAACCAAACAAGGACTTGGAAGGAAGAGAGAGTTACACAGAACCTGAAAGAATAATGTCCACTGTGGCTTCTAAGTTATGGTGAACTCGCAACTCTGTCATGGAAATCATCTCAACACCACAGCTAAAAACCGACGGTCCTTTCCTTTCCAGTACAGACTTTTGAACACCCCGACGAATTGCCTCTTCATCACCCAGTGTAACACTCTGAAAAGATGGCAATATGATTAGTTTCAATTCATTTCTTATATCAAGAAATGATTTTTCTTTTTACAGCTTAGGTGGATATGTGGTCATACAAGGATGAATAAGATTTGGAACGAGTTTATTTGGGGAAGGGTGGGAGAGCTACATGAGTTTTGAAAAGCTAGTCTCAGGTGGTTTGAGCATGTGAGTTGAAGAAGTACCGAAGCTCGAGTGAGGAGATATGAGAGGCTTGCAAAAGTGGGTGTGAGAAGGGGTAGAGGTAGACCTAGTAAGAGTGTTAGTAGGAGGTGATGAGAAACATTTCACGAATTCAGTATCTTTGCGAGTATATGTCTTTGGATAAGAACGTCTATCTAGTATTAGAGTAATTGGATGGATCTTTGGGCCACAATTTGTAGTTTATGTTGGTATCTTGTACATGTGTGCTTTCTTTGCTTTGAATCTAGTTACTAGTGTCGGTATGTGTCTTTCTTATCTTGGTGCTCTAGTTTTGTACGTGATATTATGTTTACTTTGTCTATGCTTCTGTGCTTGAGCCATGGGTCTCTTGGAAATAGGCTCTCTACTTCCAAGTAGGGGTAAGGTCTATGTACACACAACTTTCCCGGATCATACTTTTTGTGAGATATTATTGTTGTTGTTGTTATAGTTGAGTGAGAGAAGTTGAAGAGCCCTTTCCAGGTGTAAAGGAGTATTAAAAAAACACATGGGTATTAAAAACAGTTAATAAAGCTGCTATATTCATGTCCCATGTCAAAACTTAAATTGTAAAATCAACATGCACATCGAGGAAAAACCTGTACACCTCCGACCAGCATCTCTAGATCTGGATTCATCACTAAATTCTCTATTGTTCCACCATGAGCAGTGGCAACTAACTGAATACCGCGTTGTGATATTGTACTTGCTGCCATTGCCTCTAGCTTAGTACCAATTTCATCTATTACAATCACTTGGGGCATATGATTCTCAACTGCTTCTATCAACACCTACAAAACAATACGTGTTTGGAGAATTAAGAAAATGCTGCACCACAACGTACAGAACAGTGAAAACACTGAATAGATGAACAGAACAGCAGGAATCAGTCCTCAAGTTGGAACTCAACGTTCTTTTCGACTCAATTTGATACAATTTAGGCTCAATATATTCCTTGATCATATTTTACTCTGATTAAGAAGGGTGCATCCATACATTGGTGGACACATGAAAAGACCTTCTTACTTTATAACCCAATATGTACAAGGACTAAGGATCAAATGTCATAGTCAACTCGAGGACCATAATAGTTGAGGACTAAGCTAACTTACAGTCAAGGGACTAAATCAGGTATTAACTCTTAGCTAGAAAAATCAAGAATCTTTGTGTTTTATACCTTGTGTTGCATGTCGGCGTGTGGAACTTGCATGCGTCGTGCGTTGCCTATTCCTGCATGAGCTATATCTCCATCCCCACCAATTTCATTTGAAGTATCAACAATCATGACACGTTTCCCATAATCATTTGCAAGCATCCTAGCTATATCCCTTCGGAAATTATTACTCCATATTAGCCAGTCAAGTGGAAGACAACAGAAGCATTGGGCACATATTTAATAGTTTTATCCCATATTGACTCCACCTCCCCCTAGATCCTGATTTGTGACTCCCCTGACATAAGGTGGATCTGCTTGAAACACAATGAGGGCATAGGCCCACACTGTTTTTTAAATTAAGAAATGTTTTCATATGCCAAAAGAATTTCTTTTTAGAACATGGTAGCTGTTGAAAGATTTTTGTTTTTTGGTGGGGATTGAGAATGGAATCAAGGTAGTAATAAATTGAGATATAATAAGATGACACTTTTATTGTTACATACTACGTATTTGTTATAGCTATAAAAAATCTTCGATCCACCATTGCTAACATTGATCATTTGATCGTTGAAGATGGACCATCATATTTTTATAGGAATATAGGCTAAACTCCACTATAGGTCCTTCAACTTTATCAGTTGTGCACGATTGGTCCTTCAAGTTTCAAAAATCCATGAATAGTCCTTCAACTTTATGAGTTAAGCAATATTGGTCCTTCAAGTTTCAAAAGTCTATAAGTAGTCCTTCAAGTACACGTCACCCCTTCAGATGAGGTCCTTTTGACGGTAAACGGTAAAAGCTAAATGGAGTACTAGCTTCATATAATACGGAGTAGTCGTACCTAGTGGAATTTTCTCGTATTATATGGAACTAGTATTCCAATTAGCTTTTAATGTTTACTGTCAGAAGGAACCTCATCTGGAGGATTGGTGTGTACTTGAAGGACTACTTATGAACTTTTGAAACTTGAAGGACCAATCGTGCATAACTCATAAAGTTGAAGGACTATTCATGGACTTTTGAAACTTGAAGGACCAATCGTGCACAACTCGTAAAGTTGAAGGACTAATGGTGGATTTTAGCCTATTTTTATATAAATATAGTCTTATATAGATATTCATGATCAAAGTATTGCATTGAAGACCATGAAAAGTCAAATAAGAAAAAAATCCAGAAGGAGATAGTATAAGAGAATGAAATAAAACATGAATACTCACTGACCTAATAATCGTAGTTTTTCCTACTCCTGGAGGTCCAATTAGCAACATCGAAGCCCCAGCCTTAACTAAATCTTGTAAAGAGTTGGCACTTCCTGATACAGCTCGTCCCACACGGCAGGTCAAACCAATAATCTTACCTTTACGATTCCTAATGGCACTAATCCTGTGCAAGGTTCGGCTGATTCCAGCTCTGTTATCAATGGAAAAATCGCCAACCTAGAACAGGATAAACCATGAGCTCCAATTTGCAGGCAATGTTACTATGGCTATAAAACTCAAAAGATCAAGCTTACTATGCTTGTGTTAACTGCAAAATATAATGAACTTGATAAAGAGCCCACAAAGAAAATAGTTTAATGGATGGGATCATTGGGTCAGTGGAGAGAGCAGAAATTCCAGTTTTCACAATAAATATAAATTTATATCGAACCAATCAAGAGCAAACACTGCCTGCATATATTCAAAAAAGAAAGAAGAAAGAAAGAAATGAGACTTTTTTTAGTTTTTCAAAGTTGAATTGAAAAATCTAGTCATATCATTTACTCACCCAAACTATAAAAAAAACCTTAGCGGAAATTTATCAAACACTTAGCGTGCAAGAGTCTGAATATCCACTCCATCAAAGCCTCAATTAAAATTCCAAAAAAGACAGATTCAAAAATCGCCATCACCTGAGAGGTGGCATGCTCAAGATCCTGCACGGTAATTGGTTGATCCGACAACACGAAGTCTCCTGAGGGGAACCGTGCCAGGGGCTTGCGGCCCAAGTCCATGACGACCTCGATCAAGTGGTTGAGCTCCGCGTGCTCCCCGACTCTCCGGCGCATATCTTCCGGCAAGAGAGACAGCAACCGCCCAAGCTCGACCTCGAAATCATCTCCGAGCAAGAAAGGAGCAGAAGACGAAGAAAAAGCTGATTTTGAAACGAGGGATCCGATGAAGTTCGTGCAAAACCCAGCAAGCGGAGAGGAGTTGGGGCTCTGGAACTGAAAACCAGTGCTTTGATGAAGAAGGTCGAGATGCTGGGATCTATGGCGAATCAGGAGAGATGAAGAGGAACTGTGCAGCAATGGTGAAGAAAGCATTGTCGTTTTGGCGGTAAATTATCTTCCAATGGGTAGTTACAGGGTAAATTATCATTGATAGATGCTACCTGAACTTTAGCTGGAATTTCGAAAGGTACCTAAACTTCAAATCCTTTCAAAAAAATCACTCAACTTATACAATCTTTTCATTAATAGTCTATTAGCCCGTTTCTAGGTCAACTTTCGGTCATTTGGGCCAAATTAGAATTTTATATATTTTAAAATTTTCAATTTAACCCCATTTCTTTTATTTTTTTCTTCCGCTCCGGAAAATCAACCTGGTCCGATTTCGGCGGGACCAACGCCATTCTCTTCGTCTTGGGATGAGGATCAAGAATATCCAAACGATTTTTTTCAATTTGGCCTGCAACTCCTCGAATTTGAATTTTTCCACTCGAAATTCCGGAAGGAGGCGAGGATTGTGTAAAAGAAATGTGGTCAAATTGAAAATTTTAAAATATATAAAATTCTAATTTGGCCAAAATGATCGGAAGTTAACCTAAAAACGGGCTAATGGACTATTAGTGAAAGGATTGTGTAAGTTGAGGGATTTTTGTGAAAGGATTTGAAGTTTAGGTAACACTTCGAAATTCCAGCTAAAGTTCAGGTACCATTGGTGAAATTTACCCGGTAGTTATAACTTATAATAGTTGTTATTAACCGCCAGGCCTAAAATTCTTATTTTTGCTTTAAAAATAATAATCATTTTGTGAATGTCCTTGAAAACATGTGGTGAAATGAGAATTTTGGACTAATGTTTCCCATATATACGGAGTAATTTTTATTAAAAAATGTATACCAATTTTCTAATACATTAAATTAAAATAAATTTAATCAAATATTTTAAATTAAGACATGAATCTTATTTTATGACGGTAGGAGTTTATGATTTCTTTCACAAGCACACTTTAAAAAAAAGTCATTTAATGAAGTACATGTTGGCCGTGTTTGGAAAACAGTTTTTCGGATAGCTTTTGGCATCTTTGACAGACTTTAGCTTTTTTGACTAAGCGAACAGCCAAAATCATTGTTTGGTTAATGGCATTTTCACTTGGCAGTTTGATCCGAAAAGCCAAAATCTGAAATGCCAAGGGAGTGGCATTTGGACTTGGCTGTTAGGAAAATTAATTTTTTAAAATCATTTTTGTTTAAAGATATTTTATAATATATGTTAAAAAAATAAAAATAAAAGTTAAAAAAATTAAATACTAAAAAAATAAAATTTAAAATTTAAAAAGTTCAAAAAAATGAAATGAGAGAATAAAAAGTAAAAATAATTTAATAATTTTTTTAAATAATTCCTTATGAATAAAATGAAATTAAAATTTAATACTCCATATAGTAAATATTTAATTTTTATATGTAATAAAAATGAAAAATAAATATCATGTCTATATATATATATATATATATATAGGAAAAACTATTTTCAAACAGCTAATTTTACCAAACATTTTTAAAGATCAGCCAATTCATCCTGCAAGTCAAACCAGCTAAACTAAACTGCCATTCACAACAGCTGGCACGAACTGTCAATAGCCAACAGCTGACAACCAACATCCAAACAAGGCCGTTATGTTAATATTCTTCTCGGTATGTTAAAAATATGTGTTGGCAAAAATATAATTTTACTTCTTCATTCCCATAAATTTCTTACACTTTTCTTTTGAGGATATTAATTGAAACGTTCTATCCCACATTTATATTTATAACATGTAAGAGTTGATTGATGCAACAACAACCTCATCCTATAAATTTAACCAGATAAAAAGGAATTAAACATAATCGGATTAGAGGAGCCTAACAGGGTAAGTAGAAATAAACAAGAAAGTAAGAAAACAACAAAGCATGACCTAGGTTGAAGAAAATCGCTAGTGTCTAAACATATTTTTTTACTCTATTTCAAGTATGTGCTGGTTTGTGAGATCAAAATTGAATGTCATCTCTCCCTCTACAATATTAAGTAGTGGAAAGACTTACTTGTCCATGATTATCACTGTTCAGTCATTGACAAACTCAAATATTTTACAGTATTCAACTAGTGACATTAGAATGAAGAAAATTAAATTATCTAATTCACTTTTATTACTATATGTAGTATTTAATATTAATCACAAATTGGGGTGGGTCCCAAGTCCCCTCATAGTCACTTGTGTAACTAGTCCTATAGGTGGGAGTCACACCTAATTGAAACCATTCAGACACCCTTGCCTTAAGAACCCGACCAGATAGTTTAGAAGAGAATCCTCGAATCTGAAAATTTTTCATTTGGCAAGTTGAGAAATACGACTAGTCACAAAGTATGTGACTGATAGCCTTCAACGAATAACACACCGGTAACTCTATATTATATCTTGTTCTCTCATTTCATACAACACCAATAATATATATATATTGTTCTCTCATTTCATCATAATTTGCAATACAAGAAGCTAATGTGATGGATTGATCATCACAATGCTTTTCTTGGTTTAACAGAAGTCTTAACATTTGACAAAAGAACTTCATCTCTAACAAGGGACAATTTCTTCTTGTTGGTGGCGGTTTCCTTTCTAGGACTAGTGTTTGGTTGTAGCTTGCAATTTTCCCACGGGCGTACCGCTATCCAGCGCTCTACCCAACTCCATCCCCAACTCTCTTCCCCCACATCATAATATGCCTTCCCCAAGCCTTGGTCCTTCCAATTCGCCCTCCACTGTTTTCATTCAACAAACAATCATTTGTAAGCAAATATCACTGGCGGATCCAGAAAAAATTTACTGAAACACACTTTTAATACATGGATCAAAGTACAACATTTAATTAAATTTTTTTACCCTACTAATTATACTAATTTATCCATCACATCATATTTATTCATTATTAAATATAATCATCACATTTTATATAAATGATAATAGTGAAAAGTAACATCATAATTACGTGTTTTTTAAATCCATTTTTTCTAAATAGGAAAATGTTTAATATAGGATGGAGGTAGTATAATTTACAAAGCATGGGGACATAACATAGTTTAATTCGGCTATGTTACAATGATACCCATGTTGGGTGTCATATTATGGCACTTGTCTATGTATTGAGATCCCAAGGTGCTTCATTCAAAAAAGTTATGTTTTATATACATATATACGGAGTATATATTTTCTAGTCCCGGTAACTTTAGTCTGACTCGAATCCACCCCTATCCCTTTCAATATCACCTAAAATTTTGTTGAGTATTTGATATACTAACCTGATGAGAGAAAGCATAAGCCATAGCTCTCTCCCTTTTAATAGCCGCTTCTTCTCTCTGTTGAATCCTTTGAAGAATTTCTTTCATTGTCTCTGGTCCACTGCTCCACTCCACCTGTTTGTCGTTGCATAAGTATTATAGATATATAATACTCCCTTCGTCCCCCTAAGATCTTCTCATTTGGACTTTTTGTTGTTTTTAAGGAGAGTTGAAAAAAGGTGAAAGTTTACCATAATACCCTTAATGAAAAAATGGTTGGAGTGTATTAAATGAGATAGGTGAGATATAACAAATAAAGTAAGTGGGAGTAGTTGTGACATTTCAATTGCTAAAAAAGGTAATGAGAAGATCTATTGGAGACAAATAAAAAGGGCTATTGAGAAGATCTATGGGGGACAGAGGGAGTACTATATATGTCCTAAAACATTCTTCTTATTTCAGTTTACAAGTTTTGATTTAATTATTTTCAATTCAATTTATGTAATTTTAGGTGTGATTTATGTAATTTAGGAATATATATTTCAAAACTGAATCTAAAGATTTGCAAAATAAAAGGTGACATAACTATATGATTTTATCAAATGAATATCAAAAATATGTAAGTAATATTATACTTTGACCGTGTGAATACTAATTGAAAAAAAGGCTGAGGGAAGTTTAATTGACTTGGCTTTTGACATAACACCAAAATTTTGTTGACTTAGATGTGACAACTTTGAATCTTATCAACACGTGAAAGAATGAAGTTATGTAAGTGACAAGTATGCGCAATTGACCTGAAGCTCATGAAGTTTGGTTTGGAGTTTTATGTCATTTTGAGTTTTCTTGTGCTGGAGGCGACCGTCGACGACCATGCGGTGGCGACGAGCTCTGATCTCCGATTGGATTCGGCTCCATGAATGGATGTGCTTTAGAGTTGTTGCTGCAACTTGTTGATCACTATAACTGCATCCATGAACGAGTAGAACTTCCTTAAATCTCATCGTCCTTTTGAGTCGACGCACGACTCTTCTTGCCTGCAAAAAAAAAGTCAGGGGATCCTTACAAACGCCGTCTTTAACATTTTAAATAATATTTAGAAAATATAATAAAGGAAAATATAGTAAATAGTTTTTGTATTGATAACAATTTTATTTTATTTATGTAAAAATTTAGTAATTTTAACTCCAAAAATCAAAACTGTACTAACACTATGATACAGAATTACAGATGTATTTATTATATCTAAAAACAAATATATTTAATTGATGCATAAAATAAGCATTGAAAATTACCAAATGAGCCCGGAAAGCAGATTGGATTAAGGTGGCAGCGGCGTCTTCATCCAGTTTGGGGCCGCCTGTTTTCCTCTTCCTTTTTCTTAATCCCTAAAGACATTAAAATAATTAGAACAATGATTAATTGGAAGTTAAGAAATTAATTAAGTGAAGAAGTATATATTAAATGAATGTATACATATATATAAACCTTTGCTACTCTCATCTTCAATCTCTTTAGGCAGTTGGTTGGAATAAACCATTTCCCAGAACCCATATTATTAGAGAAATTAATTAATTAATTATGCAGCTGATCAAGATTTATTTATACCCAAGAGAAATTAATAATTTATTTATAAAAAAAATTGGAAAATGTGTTGAGAAAGGTGAAGTGTAGTGATCTATGTATAATTTATATAGACATTTTTGAAAACTTGAAATTGATTGAATTGTTATGTTACCTCCTAAGAAACAGACATTCCAACCAAATGTAGTTGGTCATTTAAGGCATTTAACCATTTATTATTTGGATTTGAAATAAAAATTGACAAAATTATTTTGGACTAGATGAAAATGGAAAAATATACTACGTGCATGTTCTTTAGGGTTAGAATTTCAGAGTTGAATCTTAGAAGAAAAGGTGGAAGTAAAAAAAATTGGAAAAAATTGAAAAAAGTTGAAAAAATGTTAGAAGAATTTAAGTTTAAAAACTCACTCTATTAAATAATCATGCAAATAAATATGTAAAAATTTTTTTATTTTGGATTAAAAATAATTTATCATTCTCCGTATTTGAGATGATATATTATAAATTTGGATTTATAAAATTATTTTATATTAATCATGTATAAATATCTTGTTAAGTTATTTTTAAAAGAAACTAGAAAGAATTGAAAAAAAAAACAACAAAGAGTTAGAAGAAGTTAGAACTTAAAAGTTAATTTTTCCAAACCCCAAAGAATAGGACCTAGTAGATGAAAAGAAAAAAAGAAATGAAAAGATTTTATAGAAACTAATTTTCTTGTTTGGTAAGAAAGAAAAATAAAAAAGATTGTTGATGGTGTAAACGAAACATAGTGTGAGCAAAACGACATTCCTTTGTGCAATGGGAGATTGGGAGACAAAGGAGGTCGTCATTTTTTGTTTATCTCAACTTTTATGGGCCAAACATACCCTTAAGGATTGCCATAATTCTATAGGCCCTGACTCAAAAAGACCCGGTATAAAGAAGTAGGTTTGGTTTCGGCCCAACACTTGAATTAGGCGTCCTCGAAAGCCCAGCCCTGTCTACATCTGAGTTGAGCGATAATTTTGAGCAACATTATATTTGTAATAGATACGTAAATATGACATCAGATGTCACCCTGGTCCCGTAGCTCAGTTGGTTAGAGCGTTGGTCTTATGAGCCGAAGGTCGCGGGTTCGAGCCCCGCCGGGACCATTTTTTGTTATGGTGTATCGCATTTTTCTTTAAAAAAAATATTAATTATTTTTGAAAAACATTAAAAAAATTGGTCCCGGCGGGGCTCGAACCCGCGACCTTCGGCTCATAAGACCAACGCTCTAACCAACTGAGCTACGGGACCAATTTGTTTTCCTGACGCTTGACGTTAAAATTAACGGTTGTGAATCTCTCTATCTGGCACTTCCTATGATAATCTAGTGTTATTGGTCGTTGTTGATGAATACATCCAACTAAAAATTACTAAACCCTCACTAATGTTCCAACTAGAAAAATGCTTATGTAGTACTCTCCCTCCGTTTTAAAAAATTCTTTTTCTTTTGATTTTTTTTTGATAAAACAGTGACACTCTTTGACCCCTAATTTTGAGAAAAAAGTATATTGAATTTTTATATAAATTTGATATAATTAAGTTCGCCTTAAGATATAATTTTAATATATCAAATTATTAAAATATTTATTTATTTAAATTATGTTTAATTTATAGTCGAAGAGCGTCACTACTTGAAGAAAAACAGTCAAAATAAGAAGTATTTTTTGAACCGAATAGAGTTTTAAACTTAAATAAATAATTTGCATGATTTATAAAAAAAAATATCTCGTAGTTCTTTTGATATTTATTTTGAATATCACAATATGACATCAAAATTTTAATTTATTTCATCTTGTCCGAAATTGGATCCATACTCTTTTTTAATTCGCCCACACAGCCTTTCTCTTATGACACGAATATAACAATTATGTGAACAAATTTCATAAAAGTATAATGGTATTGAGTTTTGGACTAAGTTTCATGTAAATAAACAACTAAAGTTTACCATTAGTAAACCCAAAGGTAAAGTGGTAATTTAAAAATGTGAAATTTTGCTCAAAATAGCACCGCCACAACTTAATACTTTTCTCCAAATGACATCGAACAAGTTTTTTTATTCCAAAAACTGAGATTAAATTAATTATTCCTCACATCCTTAAAAAATTATTACAGATTGACTTTTTTGATCAAACTATAGCCTCTTTTGAGCACAAATTAAATGTAACTTAAAATAATTAAATATTATAAAAAATAGATATTTTCAAAATTTATATTATAACTAAATTTATTTTTTTCCATAATTCGTAGTCAAAGGATAACATAAAAATCATGTCAAATTCTTGCATAAACTAAGGTATATGTGGATCTTCATATAAACTAAAGGAAAAATTTACAGCAATACTCTGTAAATTTTCTAATTTTACAAAAATATTTCGAAAATTAATTACTTAATTACAACTTTACTACCACAATTGGTCTATTTTTACCAAAGCACTTCACCCGCCACCTCACTTGTATAATCATATTGTGTAATATGTACTTTAATTTTTAAACTGATGACTTAGAAAATAAATCATTTTTTTCAGTTTTCATACAAAAAAGTAAATTACTTATTTTTTTCTCCAACTAAAAAATAATCTCATACTTTAAGAGTTCGTTCTTTTGGATTAGAAAAGTTAAGTTCTAGCTTTTTCTAACTTTTTATAATTTTTTCCAACTTCTTATATACAGTTTCTTTGAACGTTCAACTTTAGAATCCAATAAAAAATGACATGCCCTAATTGTGATAGATGGATTGATATTTGAGTCGGAGGAAAAATAAGTAATTTATTTTTTACGAAAACCAAAGTAGAAATTTTTTTTCAAATCATCACTTTATAAAATCCATTTAGGTATTACACAATTTTGTAGTGCAAGTAAGATTGGTGGGTTGAGTTTATTTGTAAAATAAGAGCAATTCTGGAAGTAATGTTGTAATTAATTGATTTGTTGAATATTTTTGTAAAAACAGAAATTTGTCGAAGTATTGTTGTGAATTTTTCCTAAACTAAATAAACATTTTCTTTCTATTAAACTAAGATTTTTTATTTGTTTATTTTTAAAAAAATAAACAACTTAAAATATTTGCGAGGAGGTTCCTCATATAACTTCTCAAATCTCGTACAAAAAAATAATCCGTAATAAATATGGGACGGAATCTGTACAATATTTATTAAATTTATCAAAATGGAAACAAAATTTTCCACGTGTTTGGTGATGATATTTTGTCCCAATAACCAAACATGGAAATGAAAATTACATCTAACAAAATTTGTTCATAGATACTTGAAATGGAAATTTTTAATTTCATTAATTTAATCAATAGGCAACCTAGCTAGGATCTTGATTTTGACACATAAATCGTCTCATCCCCAAGTTCACATTTGTCAATTTTCAACCTCTTCACACACAATAAATTAATTATGTGACATTTTTTTTGTAATGTCTCCAATACTTCCTCACCAAATTTTACTAAAAATATGGAGTAATAATAAACGTTTAGCTTATGTTTAATCATTCATTTCCTAAAATACTTCCTAAGTTAATAACTATTTTCTCTGTCTAAATATAATTAAATATCTTGTTTTTAGCTCAGAGGGGTTGAGGATGGAGACTCGTGCATGCAGAAAATTGAGAGTGGGCTTCAAGTGACATGTCAGGGAGCCTGAACTCGGCCGTTCTGTAATGGGCCAAGCTCGGTCATTCCGGAGGAATCGAGTTGGGTCATTCTTCATGCTAATATAATGGGAAAAAATTATAGAGAATGATTGTATAGTGATAAATATAATGAACATTTTATTAAATTCTTGTATTCAATATAATGCTCATATGATAGGTTTTTTCATATAACTAATTAACTATACAATGATAGTTATGAACTTATGATACGTTATATGTAGTATTATTTGCTTAGAATCGAGTTTAAAATAGAAACTTATAACCAAAATATGCTCTACACTACGGAGTACAAAATTTAAAATACAACCAATTACATTGTGACACGTAAACAAAATACATGCAAAACTGGTGAAGTCGATCCCATTAAACAAACAAAAAGACCATATAAGAAACATAAACTTTCTCACATAAGCACCAAATATTTATATACTTGTATTTATTTATTTTATTATTATTTTTAAATTTGTTTATGTAAAAAGATTCATGATAAAAGCACTCAAAAAGTTCACTCCAGCATCTTGACATCTCATGAGCAGTCGGTCTCTCAAACAAATAAATTTTGAAATCTTTTTATAATTTAAAAGTTAAGATAAATAATCACATATTAGAATCCCTAAGACCGACTAAGACTAATCTAAAATAACATAAATTAAATTTTAATCATAAACTGATCAGTAATGATTTTATTTGTCTCTAATAGGAGAAGAATGTACTAATAATAATGTAAAAAAAAACTTGCATATGTTGGAAATTGATTCGGTGGGTGCGTGGGTGGGGATATTTGAGACAAGATATTTGCTTTTGTTTTATCAAAGGTATGGAGATGGATGGTTTGTTGAGGTTTATGTGGGCCCCCATTTGAAAGGCAAATCCATTGGCTCATGAGATTAGAGATTTGATGATGTTGTGGTAGCTTCACAAACAACCTTTTCCCCACTTTGGATCTTGATAGATCCAATCCTACCTCAATTGACTATGTGTCTGAGGAGTGACGTAACTCGACTGGTTAATAAAGATGCAAAACACATTATTGGGAAATTCAACTGTCAACATTGGTAATGTGAGATTTGTGTATTTTACATAAAGTCATAGTTATAACTTAGAACTAGAGAAAAATCTTATTTCTTGTTATTTATTCTGACCATATTGATACACTATCGATATTGTCATATTCTATGATACACACACAAATATAAAAACACTCTTGAATAAAACATACTTCATCCGTCCCACAAAAAAGTTCTCATTTTGATGTATTTTTGGTCAAATAGTTACACGCTTTGACCATAAATTGTGAAGTATTCTAGATCAAGTGTGAGGTAATGTTTTCAAAACATAGTTTGCAGTATTTTTAAAGTACTTTTTATTCACTCATAGATTTTTGTTATTCACTCAAAACCTTTAATTTCATTTTTTTTGTCTTCACGGTGCATTCCTCAATATTAGTATATAATACTTTTAATATTTATATTGAATACAATTTCATTTCGTTGTCTTTATATACATCATAAATTTATTTTTTATTTTTTTTCACTGACCCAAAATACTGTCCGTGCAACGCACGGGTTAGAGAACTAGTATTCTATAATACACACACAAATATGAAAACACTCTTGAATAAAACATACTCCCTCCGTCCCACAAAAAAGTTTTCATTTTGATGTATTTTTGGTCAAATAGTTACACGCTTTGACCATAAATTAAATATAATCTAAATATAGAAATGCTAAAAAAATTTGAGATATCAAAACTAGATCCTAAGATTAATTCAATTATATTAAATTTAATTTATAATTCAATATATTTTTCTCAAAATTTGTAGTCAAAATGTGTAAATATTTGACTAAATACTATTCAAAATGGGAACTTTTTTGTGGGACGGAGGGAGTAGTACTTAGTTATGCCTAGTTTGTTATAAATGAGAGAAATCTCATTGATTATTTGATGCACTCAAGATCTACCATAGAATTTGCCTTTAGTAAATTCAATAAACGAGTAAAAAGAGCATTTGGAATTAGTCTTCCCCTTTTAAATAGACCATTTTTAGATCTTATTAGGTGTTAAGTATAGACTCCATTGCCACCAATATGTAATTGGAATCCAATTTATCTCTTCTTAGTGACCGTCCGACCAGATCTGAAGAGAAAACCAAAAAAAAGAGGGACCTTATATATGGAACCCCAAAAAATCACAGATTCACGAAGATCATCAGCTCTTTCGTTAAGAAGCCACAAACATAGAGTACATAAAACAAGAAAATGAGAGAGAAAGAGAGATATAGAGAGAGAGAGAAAGAATCCGTATATAAGGGAAATGCAAAGCAAGGATTCTGGAGAGAGAGAGAGAGAGCATTTATGTAGGTTTCTTTAGATTTTGATTTAAAAGCCATGGATTCTCTATGTAATATTACATATTTATTGAATCATAATTACATATTCCCAATTTTCCTATTATTGTTATATTCTCATAGTCTTTCCACATTTTGCTGATCTGTCTCAAACAAGCATAACCGCTCTGCTTCAGAAAAATCCATAACTGTCAGTTTCTCTATCTCTCTCTGGGCACTCATTTCCTTATAAATCTCTTGTGAAAAACCATTCTTGATCATAAATTGTCCATAAAGTTCCAATCTTTGCTGAATTCTATCATGTGGGTGGATTTTTTTCCTTTTCTTTTTCAATAGTTTCTGTTGTGATCATCACAGCAAGATTTTCTGCAAGATAATAAATTAGGGTACTTTGGGAATTTCCCCATTGATTCTTTTACCTTCAATCTGTGAGCATTCTGGGGATTTATTTTCATGGCAATGGTGGATCAAGAAGAAAAGCATACCCAAAAGTGTACTAATAACAGTGGTGGAAATAGCAGCAGATCTTGCAAGAAGATGAAGCCAAAGAAGATCCCACAAAGAGGGTTAGGTGTAGCTCAGCTAGAAAAGATCAGGTTAGAAGAGCAGCAAAGAAAAGAGGCATCATCTTTACTGTCCTTCAGGCCTCAACCCCTCCCCCAAATTACCACTTTGCCCCCATCACCGCCTCAGCCGCCAGTCATTATTGATCTAAAGGGCATGCCCAGAGGAGCTGAGGCTTGGGTTCCAAAGCCATACTCTGATGGCTCAAAGGCTTTGGCTGTTCAAGGGAAGAGTCATAATTGGAGTAAATTGTGTGACAATGGTGGTGATCATCATCAACATGGGAAAAGGGTTCCCCAGAATTTGAATATGGTTAATGAATTAAATACCCGAAATTCGTCTCAGCAATGTGTGTTGCAGAGATCACAGCATTGTCAACACCTTTCCTCTTCATCAATGGTTAGCCACTTAGCTTCCAACTTTTCATTAGTGTCTCATTAGTGAGAGTTACAACTTTTCTTTTAACAATTATTGTTTTTATTAAAGACATACACACTGAGACAGGAACATGACACTTGCAACATTTTTGATTTTTTTTTTTTTTTGGGAAATTTGTAGGTGAAGGTCTCGGCAGGGATTTCATCATCGGCAGCATCATCTGAACTGAATTTCCAGACGGAGCCCCCTTCAAACCAAAATTATTGTGTCAAGAATTATACACCTCGCTGGCCGGAGGAGGAAGTTAAGGTAAACAAATGTCAATGTTTTACTTTGTGTCCCTGTATTGTGGTACTAGTATGTGTATTAAGTTGATCTTGTGGAAGGGAGGGTGGATGGAAAATGATGAACTGATGCTAGTATATATGTGTGTGTATGACTCTTTCTGGGTAATGCTTTCTTGAAAGTTTTACTTCTGTCTTTGCCTTCTACCTTGTGTGATTTTTATTGGGTTTATTGGTTTCTAGAAAGTTCTGAAACTAGTTTCTTGATGTAATATGCAGATGGCTGGCATTAAGAGGCAGTGCCCCTTTTCTTCAGAGTATCCAATTTCACTAGCTTCATTCACTTGCAAATACCCTCCTATGTCTAAGACATATGAATCGTCCGACATTCTAACAAGGTACAGTGTGGCTTACCTGCTCCAAACTTTGCATGGTTTTTACATTTGATTGCCCTTTGGTCACCATGGTTTTTAAAATTTCTTTGGCATTGATCAGAGGTCCATCAAACTCAGATTCTTTGTCTGCACCCATCACCAGGAGACTCTGCAGAGAAAACGAAGGTTTTGATGGAGATTTTCTAACTCTTGCCCCTCCAATGGCTTCTTCACCTCATATACATCTGGTGAGCTTGTGAAATCTAATATTAATCTTCAATTTCCCCTGCAGAGGTGTTATAGTAAAAAAAAACATCTTTTGGGTTTACAATCACTAGTTTGAGGTTCTTGTTGTTGAGTTACTTAGTCAGATAAATGTATTGCACCTCTTCTTTTTCATCTAAGTCATGGGATTAAACTCATTTCTAATCTACAGGGAGGTGGTGAAGAGCTGATTGGGCGACTTGTGACGAGTGGATCAGATCAACCGTTCATCCACGGGTTTTGCCCATTAACCGAACTACAGGTCGGGCAAGAAGCAACAACACCTAATGAATGCAGAGGTGAAGTCAGTGGGGGCGTTGATCTGAACCTAAGGCTATGAACGAACATCTCACACAGGTTGTTGCTTAGGAAGAAGGATTAAGGAAGAAGGTGTTTGTAGATAAATGTTTGTGTTCTTGTTGTTATGTTTCATATGAAAGTTCAGTAAAAGAACATTTGATTGGTAATCAACAATAAAAGAACAGTATGATGATAATGATAATGATCATGGCAATACTCAAAGATATTTGAGATTTTGCATGAATATTCCGAGATTGCATAATTATCATTGACGCTTTGAGAATTTAAATTATCAACATTAATACCCAAAGATTACAAATTGATGATCACATGTACTCATGAAAAAAATGAGGGATAGTTCATAGAGCATTATTGTAATACTTTATAAACTCCCAGAGCTCTAGTGATGAACTAATGATTATGCATTCTTGAATTATTCTTGTAAAATATCAAAATTATGGGAGTATTGACATGAACTTTTCCAAATAATCTGCACAAGGTATATGTAGCAGATTTCAAATTCAACTGATCATGAGCGAAAATCTTTTCTCCAGAGTATTTGGAATCCAAATTGTTATATTCATCGACATCAATGTTACCTATAATCTAAACTAGAGCTCGATTCTAAACTTGTGACAATTTTATCATTTTTCAGCACAGTATTGGAGAACTAGGATTAGAGTAGTTGGTTAGGAACTCGGTGTTATAGAGGTTTTTTGTAGTGTGTTGTGTTTGTTTGGAATCTTCTATTAATGCTTGTAGAACTTTCTTTTCATTGTACTTGGTGTTTTATTCATGCTATACTGTATACCCTATTATATTTTTTATGCAGGTTGAGCCGGGGGTCTCTTGGAAACAGCCTCCCTGCTTCCAAGTAGGGGCAAGGTCTACGTACACACACCCTCCCCAGACCCTACTGTAGTGGGATCCAACTGGGTTGTTGTTATTGTTGTTGTTGTTGTTGTTTCAGCACAGTATTGAGATTGTTGTTGTCGTCCAAAATACCTATGTCTCTTTCTCTGTTCTCTTGATCTTTTTTTCCAGTCCGGCACATCTTTGATTTTTTTCACTACCGCCTTTTCAAACTTTCGTGTTTCCTTCCAATTTATATTGTTCACATCCAAGATCATTTTGTGGATGGTCACCCAAATGGGGGCTAGGAGACTGGGAAGGGATTAGTCGAAGTAGGAATCACTTTGGGGTTGAATGGATCAACATAGGGCTGTCAATAATTACAATGTCATAATGACACCGAGTTTTAGTGTCAAAAGAACCTTAGCAGATTTCTCTTTTTAGGAATCACTAAATCCTTTGTGAGATTTTTACTAGATTTGTTGTAGTTGAATCAATAAGTTTATGCATAATTCATAGCCACATAATTATTTAACTTCCTTATAGGAATCATATTAAGATGAAAAAACATATTTAAGATTTCATGCGGATTTAACCATTTCAACAACCCTGACACTATGTTTGGTTTGAAGAATTAGGAAGGAAGAAAATACTCGATGGAAAAAAGGTCAAAGAAAACAAAAATCCTAATGATTTTGGTAGTAAAATTGGTGAGAAATACGGAGTAATTCATTTTTTGGTTGTTGTAGAGAAAATGAAAAAACATGGTTGAGAAAGGGAGGGGGGTGTGGAGGACAAGGAGAGAAATTTTTTGTTTTCTCCACTTTTTCTTACAAAAAAAAAGGGAGGAAAGACCACATTTCCATTTGTACATTACCGCTATGTTTGGTTAAGGAATTCAGATGGAAAATAAAAGAAAATAATTTTCTCTCATTTTACTCACAAAAAAATGTGAGAAATTTTCTTTTCCTTCTATTTAGTACAGTTTGCATTCTCATTCTCTTTTCTTTTCTTTTTTCTTTTCTTTTTATGTCTAACCAAACAAGTAAAATTATTTTTCGTCCCATGTTCTTTTCTTTTTCGTTTGAAATTCCTTGAACCAGCACATTTTCCTTGCATGTTCTTTTCCTTTCTAGCCAAACACCAAAACTGTTTTTCCACACCATTTCGTTTCTTCCGTGAACCAAACAGGCACTTGAGGAACCCCAAAATAAGCCTATGGGGTTGGTGATGAGGTACATAGGGCCAAACAGCAAAAAAAAAAAATCATAAAAATTGGAGCAAGAAAACTGAAATATCTCAAACACGAATGTCTTATTAAAAACTGGTAAGAGAATGTTTACCAAACACATGTCGAAGCATGAAAACAGAGGGGACACAACAAGGCTCCTCCATTTCATGACCAACCAAACACATAATCAAGAACATAAACGAATGCGATGGACAGCGGGTAGAGCGAAAAGGCTATGAAAGAAGTCCAGAGCGGGAAAGTGGAACGAACACTCCCGAAAATGCCCATCACAATGCAGACTATGAGAATGACGAGAACTTCGGATGAGAAGTCCCATGTTAATCCTCTTGCATAAACAAGAGCCAGGAAAACCGAAAGACAAAGGACATTGTTCATAGTCACTGCTCCATATAACTGCAAGAAAAGAAGATAAAATCAAATATTGGTTCCATAAGAAGATAATTATGTCAGCTAGCCAATTCAACAGTCATCCACTGCTTTAACAGAGCCAACAACTCCAGCTATTTTATACCTTACCAAACAGCATTTATTGGGTTTGAATTTTTCTATTTTATTTTCATCGAAATTTTCTTTCCTTGAGAATTCGACCTCAATTTTAAGTATTTTCTTTCCCTAGCATTTTCCTGATTCCAAATGGACCATAGCAAGAGCAAGAAAGAAAACTGAACAGACCTCAGAAAATGTTAATGATGCAGATCTAAGCTTTTTCCTGCTGGCAAAGATGATTGCTGACACAGCCTCACTCGAGTTTGTTGCCAACGGTAGGGCAATGAATGAGATGAAGAAAGTCGGGATGTGTGTGGCACTGGAGAAATTGTCGACTGCATCTACAAGGGGATCGGCAAAAGCAGCAGCAATGGCAGTCCCCAGCAACAAGAACAATACAGCCTTGACTGAGGTCCATTTGGGATTCACAATTTCCTCATCACCTTCATCACATTGATTCCCCCCAGCGCTTAGCAGATAATGATCCCTCCTTGTTTGCTGCAAAAGAAGATGTGTGCTCATATTATGACCAAAGCTGTGAAAAAAGCATTATGTGCCCAATACGCATTAGGCTACGACCGACAACCAATGTGAGATACTCAACACCCCCTCTAACCCAAGTCTGGGTACACAACTGATTAACTGAAGGGGCGGACAAATATGCCCTAACTAACTCCCAAACATTTGGGCACCCATAAACCATTCATTATCAAACCAGACTTCAATAACATATCAATTTGGGCCTAGCTCATCCAAAAACTCCTCAAGGTTAACTTAAACTTTGTCCACTTTCTTTTTGACACATGGACCATGAAAAAGGAAAAAAAAGAGAAGTGATCACTATGCCCCTACTTTTACAATTTGGGTGGGAGTTTGAGTATTAGGTTAGGGAAAAAAATCAATGCCACTTTATTTCTTTTCCTTGAATGGAAAGTTGGCATATATTGCAGACATTGGAACAACCCAAAACAGAATATTCTACAGCTACATTGGGACGGAGGAAGTATATACTATACTCGAACCTAGTAGACAATATATGAGTGTACTAAACAATGTAAATAGAATTAGGCGGGCCTAACCGGGTAAAAGATATAGGCGAACAAGGGCTGTTTAAATGTATATGCAGAGATTAATCAGGGTGAAGCGGCAGTTTTTAAAACAATTTTATAATCATCATCACGAGAAGCTATATACTGAAAATTTAGAGAACACAACAAACCTCATGATAATCATCAAGATATTTAAATGTTCCTGGTGTAGCTCTGGAAGCTTGGATCTCATCAAGCCATTTCCCAACACCAGCAACAAACTCTTCAAATTCAATACACTGATTATTTGAGGAATCAAAGTCCTTCATTAGATTCGATATGGCATCATTTTCGTCTAGGTTAATCTCTTCAAGACGGATTCCCACGAGCAGAGCTCTTAATTCAGAATGCGAGAGTTTGTCGTCCCCATTAGAATCTATGGTATTAAAAAGCCTGGCACCAACAACATCAATCAGATATTTGGGAAGTTTATGAATTAGGTACTTTTATTCTTCTTTATAAAAATGTAGGATGGGGATTTTAAAGAAAAGCTTACTTTCTCAAAACTGCACGATCTGGTACTCCCTGATCTGTGTAAAGTCTGCCTAATGCATGTTTTTTCAAATGCCTCAGAACTCCTGACATGATATGTTTTTGCTTTAGATAAGCAAGTCGTCTTTCTTGTATCCATGGCTGAAAGATCTGAGCTAGCATGTTAAAGACAAGCTCAGAAGAACAGTTTTGTAGCAAATTAAGAAAATAGAATACAGATTTATGCTTGAAAATGTAACAGAAATCAATTGACTGAGAAAACATGTTGAAAAAAGGATGCATTAAGACTAGTTGAAAAAAATAAAATCAATGTTCACTTTCTTTGCACTCACAGAGGCCCAACATCGGGAATATGGCTCACACGTACAGATATTAGATAATGGTCATGTAGCAAACATGCAATAGCATTGATTTGTTGTTCATAGGGAAGTTACCTAAATACAATGGAAATTACACCCTACCTTTTTAGTGTAAATCAATAAAACCACATCATCTCATGTTCGAAATGTGATAGTGGCAACAATAAATTGATTTGTTTGACCTGCCGCAGTTGAGCTAGGGATAGATATGAAAGGTTAAAACCATTACATAATTCAAACACAAAGCAGTACAGTGTAGTTCATATCATTTATACCAATAAACATTATCGCTAACAAGGCCTTAATCCCAACAGGGTGGGGTAATTGGCATTACCATTATAAAATTAACTAATGCTCTAAATTCATGCAAAAAAAAAAAACAGTGGCAATGTTGAACGCCAGATTCCCTCCGTGTTGTAGCCTTCTAGCTTTCATAAGGAATAATGAGATGAGAATTCTAAACCTTCATTAGGCAATATCCACATGCAAGGAAATACCATGAGACGGCGATTGGTTGAGATATATTCACATATTCAATTGTCATGTATATGACATGATTGATATTACAAAGCCAACATGCATACCATGTGACATGATCAAGAGTAATTCATACCAATGTGATGAAGAAAATTCAAACAAATGTACAAGTCATGATACCTGATA